ATATCATCTATTCCGTTTCGCCACCACATAATTCGGTACTACACTTACATGTAACCCGCCATCAATTTCAGTTCTCAAGAAATCAAGTCAATTAAATTAATTGGTATTAATATTCGAATTCAAAAATAAAATATAAAAAACGCTACAAATGTACATTAGAAAAAAGTAAGTCAAAATTGAAAAAAATTATGCAAAATAAAACATTACTATTGTACATTTCCAAAGTCAAAATGAAAATGTTAATATATCACATTTTTACGCGATTTTTTGGATATTATCCTTTTCGGACAGGAGACAATTCCGAATTTGTATGAATCCATTACGAACTTCATATGCGGAATTTGAAACAATCCCGGTAAATAATATCGCTAAAATTATCAAAATACCGAATATCGGAGGTTACGGTACATGGGGGCTATACGAAGACGTCGACCTACATGGCCCATTTTGTTTCATGCTGCAGTATCTATTACGAACTTCAAATACCAAATTTGAAACGATTCCGGTAAACAATGTAGCTAAAATCATCAAAATACCGAATATCGGGGGGTACCGTTATGTAGGGGCTATACGAAGACGTGGACCTACACAGATTATTTTCTGTCTTAGGCTTTAGTATCCATTAGGAACTTCAAGTGCCAAATTTGAAACAATTCCGGTGAATAATGTCGCTAAACTCATCAAAATACCGAATATCGGGAGGTATCGTTACATGGGGGCTATATGATAACTTGGACCTACATGGCCCATTTACGAACTTAACCTGCCTACTGGCAAAATATACATGTGTGCAAAATTTTAGCCTTCTATTTCACTTTGTTCGAAAGATAGCGTGATTACAACAGACAGACAGACGGACATGGCTTAATCGTCTTAGAATTTTACGCTGATCAAGAATATATATACTTTGTTGGGTCTGACATGAATATTTCGAGGAGTTACAAACGGAACGACAAAATTAATATAGTATGGTGGAGGGTATAAAAATATTGACCACGCCTACATTTACGCCCACTATTTTGATTTTTCTAAAATCCTTATATTTGCCAAATAATGAAGATTTCGATTTAAAAATTATTACACGAGATACTGTTGACTTCCCCCCAGCATTAAGTATTTGTTTGGGCGCTGAGGTACTGACCACGCCTATCTATATATATAGAGAAAAATTGTGTTCGTTGGTAATTGAATCAGTTATGAACAGTTGGAACAATTTTTATAATTTTTTTCTAAATGTATGTTCCATCCCGAGTAAGGTTTTTATGCAAAGAAAAAGTGACCACGCCCAATTTACGCCAATTTTTTCGATTTATCTAAAATGTGCCAAAATTATGAAGATGTCTATTCTACAGTTAGTATACGACATAATCTTCACTCTCCCTCCAACCATAGGTATCTGTATGGGGCCGGAAGAACTGGCCACACCTACTTCTTTAAAGCTATATGAAAAAAAAAAATAAAACATAGAAAAGCATAGTAACACGTCAGTTGAGAACGGCTGGGCCGATCTGACTCAAATTTTCTTTTGGTTATTTGTAATTACAGACAATTTTGATATGGAGTATTATGTAGAATTGTTTCAAAATGTCTTTTGCAAAACATTAAAAATCTCAACGTACTTTTAAATTGAAGCTATGCCTAATGGGGAATAGAAAATCTATATATATATATATATATATATATATATATATATATATATATATATATATATATATATATATATATATAATATATATATATATATATACATATATATATATATATATATATATATATATATATATATATATATATATATATATATATATAATATATATATATATATATATATATATATATATATATATATAGATTTTCTATTCCCCATTAGGCATAGCTTCAATTTAAAAGTACGTCGAGATTTTTAATGTTTTGCAAAAGACATTTTGAAAGAAAGACAAATGAAAGACATTTTGAAACAATTTATATATATATATATATATATATATATATATATATATATATATATATATATATATATATATATATATATATATATATATATATATATATATATATAAATCAATATATATATATATATATATATATATATAAATCAATTGTGGTTCGTTGGTAATGAAATCAGTTGAGAACGGCTGGACCGATTTGCATAATTTTTTGTACAAACGTTCGTCATACCACAAGTTAGGTTCTTTAAGAAAAAAAAATATTGACCACGCCTACTTTTACGCCCACTATTTTGATTTATCTAAAATCTTTATATTTGCCAAATAATGAGGATATCGGTTTGATAATTATTACAGGAGATACTGTTGACTTTCCATCCAACCCTAAGTATTTATTTGGGGCACAGGAACTGACCACAACTACTTTTTAATCTATATATTTGATTCATAGTTGCCATATATATGTTTGGAAATGGTGCAAAGTTGCCATATTTTACTTAAAAAACTTAACGTACGTTGCGACGATGAACATAAAACACGGTGTACTTATTATATATATATATATATATATATATATATATATATATATATATATATATATATATATATATATTTATATCGCCAAAATAACAAGTACACCTGTCCCAGACCGCGTTGCCCGTAGTTTTAGTTTTTGTTCTGTTCTGTTCTTTTAGTCTTTAACGCATAGTTTTTAAAGCATGATAATTCACAGATCTGGCTCACAAAAGTGGCACAATTTTTAGTATAAATGATGACTCATCTAAAGAGAAATAAATATGCATTTCAAAAATGTCAATATAGGTTCACGTAAATAATATAGCACATATATTAAACTGTATACACCAATTGTTTATAATAGTCCCATGTAAGATGGTTCTCTACCCCCAAAGTAGCCTAAACACACATTTTAAGCCAAATCGATTCAAAAATATAATCAAAACCCTCGAAATAAATAAAATCAGGGGGTACCTTTATATAGGTAGCGCCAAAACATTGACATTGAAAATTTTCCGCGAAGAGGTGACCTACAATGTGACCATGACCCTGGAAATAATTGAAATTAGTGGATGCCTTCATACAAGAGTTATACCAAAGCTTGGTCCAATATTTATAATTATTTGAAAGAATGTTTTGTTCTTTCTAAAATCTCAAATTACCAACATTTAAGGAATTAAAAAGGGGCAATGCATACCAACCTGAAACATATTTTGTACAAAATGATTCTTTATGTAACCCATAGGACTGCATTAACTTTTGCGGAGTATAGAGGAAAATATTTGAGGCCCTTTGCGTATGTTTAAGCTATATAAAATGGACCCTAAAAAGTTTGACCCGGGAACCCCAACCCTTTAAAGATTCTTATCTACCAACCTCATGATTGTCTTGGGTGCAGCGATAGCCCATAGTGCCCGTATGAAGTTACCTGTGATTTAAGGTTACGGGTTCGTTTAAGGGCTCGCAAGAATTTTCCAATGATATGATTACTTTTCTTACCAAATTTTCAATTCGCTCCACTGTTTTGTGTAGTACGCATATTACATTGCCTCTTCATATTCGGTAGTTCACTAATTAAAGTCCTAATGAATTTTGCATTGGATGGACTATTTCAATATCTAGTCAATTTTTTGAAGTTTCCGACCACAGGATCGAAAGTAATTTCTAAATAGAAATCCTGGAAATATGACTTTAACTATCAAAAATAAGGTTTCATCGGTTTATTGTATTAAAAAGTAGAAATCTTTGTCAATTAAATTATGACATGTTTTTGTTACAATTTCTACCGAATGAACTGTAAATTGACATTTAATGTTTTGAGTATTGTGAAATCAATACCGGCAATATATATTTAAAAGCACGTTGAGCTTTTAAATGCTTTGATGCTTCGAGAAATATTTTTTAATCAAAATTGAACATGTAACGGCATGTACACAAAATATGCAAAATTTCTCGAGGTTTTTCAATAGGATTTTTTAATTTCAAAAGCCATTCTGAAACAATTCTACACAAAATTTCATATCCAAATAGAACAGTTAATTTGAGTTCTGCAATTTTTCTAGAAACATTTCTCAAAATTTTCTTTCTTGAAAACGTTTCCAGTGTAATTACAAATAACCAAAAGAAAATATGAGTTAAATCAGACCAGTCATCCTCAACTGAAGTTTTACTATGCTTTTTTACATTTTTTACGCATAGATCTAAAAAACTGGGTGTGGCTTGGAGGGAGAGTCAAGATTACGTTGTATATGACTGCTTACAATTTAATTTACTGTTGTTCCCCATTATGCATAGCCCCAATTTAAAAGTACGTCGAGATTTTAAATGTTTTGATGCTTTGAGAAGTATTTTTCAATCAAAATTGTATTGAATATATGCAAAATTTCTCGATTTTTTTAGGAAGAATTTTCAATTTCATAAGGCATTCTGAAACATTTAGGATTTTAGGTAAATCGAAAAAATGGGCGTAAAAGTGGCGTGGTCACTTTTTCTTTGCATAGAAACCAAACTCGGGGCAGGACGACAATTAAAAAAAATATTCATATCCGTCCAGCCGTTCTTAGCTGATTCGTTTACCAATGAACAACAATTGATTTATATATATAGATTAAAAAGTAGTTGTGGTCAGTTCCTCTGCCCCAAATAAATACTTAGGGTTGGATGGAAAGTCAACAGTATCTCCTGTAATAATTATCAAACCGATATCCTCATTATTTGGCAAATATAAAGATTTTAGATAAATCAAAATAGTGGGCGTAAAAGTAGGCGTGGTCAATATTTTTTTTTTTTTCTTAAAGAACCTAACTTGTGGTATGACGAACGTTTGTACAAAAAATTATGCAAATCGGTCCAGCCGTTCTCAACTGATTCCATTACCAACGAACCACAATTGATTTATATATATATATATATATATATATATATATATATATATATATATATATATATATATATATATATATATATATATATATATATATATATATATATATATATATATATATATATATAAATTATAATCATTCTTAATAGTATTATATTTTTTAAAAACTAAAGTGAGTTTCCTCCCTTTGGCGAAACTCGCGTTAAAAAATAACACGTCAATTAAAGTTTGCTGCTGGAATAGAACTAAATCTTTATTTGTCAATGAGTGCAATATACATAATTGTTTATTTTAATTCTAGATACATCGTATGATTATTTATTGGTCTTTTGATTCGATCGTATGATTTGAAATACGATCGATTGTGTGATTTGCAAGAAGGGTGTGGCTTTTTTGTCTAAATGACAGATGGTACGATAATTGTAATATGAATACGATAATTGTAATATGAATATATTGCCAAGTCATTGGAAAGGCATTTTGGTTTGGGTTATAACACCCCCGGACGAAGACTCTTTCCCGTGTTCCAAAGGAGCTGAGGGGAAGGGCATAGTTACTTTTACTTTTACTGTGCTTGATCTATATTTTACATACAGATACAATGCTATAATAAGTATAATTACAGCTGTCAAGACTATTACTGTGTAATTAGTTACTTTCTGTTCAAATTTTATTTCTGATATGAATTCGGTATTTTTAATATGATGATACTGTATTTCCTCTAAAGAATCATATGAATCATTTATCATATGTATGTCTCTGTAGGGATTTGGAATTATTAACATGTTTTGAAACATTACTTTATTGTACCATTTGTCCAATTTTACTTTGCAATTTTCTATGATCAGCATGTGATTTCCAGATAATTTTAATGATTAACAATTTGATTAGTATTTATAGCAATTATAATATTTAAGCCAATTTCGACAACTTTTGGTTTAGTATTTTGTATATAATGACATTTCATGAGCTTATAATTAAACAGATTGGATATACAATCATCCTCAACTTCCCTTAGATTTGGTGTTTCATTAACATCATAATAAATTTTATTATCTTTTGTGATATACAATTTTTCTGCAATATTAATTTGCATTTTTTCTTTATTAGGTATTGGTTGAATATATACTTCTTGGAATATTTTAGGATTATATTGGGGTACTTTTAAGACAAATACTATATTATTTTTGTAAAGGGCTAAATTCATCTTAATTTCTTTCATTTTATCTATGGTTATATTATATATTCTAATTTCTTCATCACTCAGGATATCTCGAGTGAGAATATTTAATTTGGAAGCCAAGATTAGGTCTCTTACTTTATCTAATAATTTGCCCATATGATCAATTTGGTATTTAAGACGGTAAACTTTATCAGCTTTTGCTGTGTTATCTTTAATTGATTTAACGTTTGACATGCTCTTAATCAACAGTTTTGTTTGGTCATTATATAATTTTGTTAAGTTAGCTAATTGATTGTCAAATTGTGTATTTATGTGTATTTGATTATTAGTTTGCGTTATTATATTATGTTCATTCTTCTCCAAATTTTGCAATTGTCTTTCAATCTCTTCTCTATCATTATTATCCATTGTACCATATAGATATTTTAATCCTGTACCAAAAAGATTAATTAAACCTCTTCTATTTCTAGCTTGATGGGGAATAATACTTTTAAGTCGTAAATGTATGTGCTCGATTTCATGCGATAAAAATGAATCATTAATATGCGAAACTTCCTCTCCCAATTCATTCAAAAAATCCATATATTTTGTGGTGTTAAATATGTGAAGAATTTTAATATAGTCATCTATTAACATTTTGTCATTAAGTTGTATCATTGCATATCCGTTGCCTTTATTCAAATCGACTACCTCGAGCTTCTGCGCTACCACTGGGGATATCATCAAGAAAATCGCCAGCAAGGACTTCCAGAGACCTGGAAAGACATTTCCTTTTAATGAACTGGTCTTTATGAAGTATTGTATTTCGGTTATCTAATTTATATTTTTTGTCATTAATTTTCCGTGTAGTCAACTGTTTTATTTTAGTCTCGGTCTTATGAGGGATTGCTGTTCTTCCAAATTTAGTATTAATATCTTCATCCTTTCTTTCTTTATTTCTGTATCTTAACATCTTTTCCTTTGCTGTTTCAATTTCATTATAAACTTTTTCCATATGAATATCTGAGTTATAAAAATGAAGGTCAATGGGTTTCTGTTTCGTAGAAAGATGTAAACTATTGTTGTATGCCTGTAATGCCTGCAAAGGTAAATCATAGTTGTATGCTACATCATTATTTTCCTCCCTAATTTTTAATATTCTAATATTCTCATTTAAACTGCTATGAAAACGTTCAATGTCCGAATTACCAGTATGTCTATGAGGTGTTGTAAAGTGATACTGAATATCATTATCTTCAAGGTGTCCCGTAAATACTGGATTAGAAAACGTCGGGTCATTATCCATAGTAATCTTTTGGGGTTTCTTCATGATGAGGAACAATTTATTTACAGCTTTTATAGCCTGTAATGGTGTTTTGTCAGATAATTCTTCCATTGCTGCATATTTTGTAAATTTGTCAATCATGGTCAAATAAAATATTTGGTTATTAAGATACCAAATATCCAAGTGGTAATGAACATAAGGTCCATGTGGTGTTTCCGTTTTCTCGAATGGTAATTTGACGGGGTTTCTTTCTATTTTGAAATTACATATAACGCAGTTATTTATAATTTTAACAATTTCCTTTTTCATATTCGGATAATAGTATTTCCTTTTTAATTCAATATATGTTTTATCTATTCCTGGATGATTGTTTTCAAATCGGTGGTGTCTATTTATGATTTCTAGGAGTTCTTCGTATCTAACATCTTGCAGAAATTTAGTTGTTAATATGATTTCAAATTGTTTTGTATTTAAAGGATTATCTTTTGTGGTTTTATATTTTTCCTGTAATTTCAATAAAATTTCCGTATCCTCACAATACAATGCTGAAAGATTATTTTCCATGGCTTCATTCAATATTCGTGATATTAATTCGTCGTCGAATGTTTCATAAGCGTATATTTTCCTATTCTTATCAAATATCCGTTCATGTGTCGTCTTATTGTCCTTGGAATTGTCAATTTTTATTTGGTTCTTGTAGTGCTGAAGAGGTTTCTCTGATATCTTAAAGAAATTATGGCCATCTTCGTCAGCACTGTGTATTGTAGAAGTAGGTGAAGGTGGTCTTTTCTTTAAATGTTCATCCAAATGTTTCCTAAGCAGATTCTTCTTACTAAACATTTTATTACATATCTCACATTTATGTTTTCTTTTAGCTGTGATTGCATTAACTTCTCTAATTCTTGAGAGAGCATCAGCTACTTTATTATCCTTTCCTTCTACATGTTTGATGTCAAATTCGTATTCATTTAACCTTATTTTCCAACGGATTAGTTTGGAATTAGGGTCCTTAAGATTTGCCAGCCATATAAGGGGTTTATGATCGGTTCTTAGTTCGAATTTCCTACCGTAAAGATAATGTCTGAATTGCTTAACTGCCCAAACAATTGCAAGTAATTCTTTTTCAACTGTGGAATAATTAATCTCATGACGGTTTAAAGTGCGTGAAGCAAACGCTATTGGTCCATTGCTTTGTGACAGGACGGCTCCTAATGCATAATTACTAGCATCGGTAGTCAGAGTAAAACTCTTTTCAAAATCCGGGTATTGAAGTACCATATCGGACATCAGAATCTGTTGTAACTTCTTAAATGCTTGTACATAGTCAGCATCTTCAGTATTAATTATTGCATCTTTTTTAAGTCTCATGGTCAAGGGTTTTGCAATTTTTGCATAACTTGGGATAAACTTTCTGTAATAACCCGTTAATCCCAGAAAACTTTGTATTTCCTTAACATCTTTTGGTATGGGGAACTCCTTAATACATCTTATTTTATTCGGGTTTGGTTTTATCCCATTATTAGTCACTACATGTCCTAAAAATTCAGTCTCTTTTTTCAAGAAGTCTGATTTATTTAAGGATACTTTTAGATTTGCAACTTCTAATGTTTTCAAAACTTTTCCCAAGTTTTCCATATGCTCCTGTAATGAAGTCGAAAATACTAAAATATCATCCATGTATACCACACATATCCTGTTTATATGCTCTCTGAGCACGTTGTTCATCATTCGCTGAAAAGTTGCCGGAGCATTCTTTAGACCGAATGGCATTCTTATAAATTCATAATGTCCATTTGTTGTAGAGAATGCTGTTTTTTCCCTATCTTTTGGATCTACCTCAATCTGATAAAATCCCTTTGTTAAGTCCAATGTTGTGAAATAGTTAGCTCGACCTAGTTTATCTAGTATGTCGTCAATTACTGGTATTGGATATCTATCATCTTCAGTGATAGCATTCAATTTTCTATAGTCTATAACAGTTCTCCATTCCTTGTTTCCTACTTTATCTTCCTTCTTGGGTACTACCCAGATAGGAGAATTATATGGAGATGAACTATGCTTTATTATACCTTGTTCTAGCATTTCATTCATTTGTCGATCTACCTCTTCAGTATGTATTGCTGGATACCTATATGATTTCGTATATACAGGGCCATGATCTCCTGTTTCTATCTTGTGCTTTATCTCATTGGTAAAGGTCAGATCATCTCCCGGATGGTAAAAGGCATTTTCATATTTAGTTATTAATCTTTGGAGCTCTGATTTTTCTTCTGTATTTAGGTGGTCTGTCCTTAGCTGCTCAGTAATTCCTAGTATGTTAATATGATGGAGTTCTGGCAATGTTTGTAGTGAAAATTCGTCATCTTCAGAATCTCCTTCAAAATATATCCTGAACTTTTGACCGTTAATACTTACTTCTTTTTTCCTATAATCAATTACAGAACAATTTTCTTGTAATGTTTGGTTGCCTAATATTCCATCGAAGAATTTGTGAAAGGTATACACCCTAAATGTTGTACCTGAATTAAGGGGAATCTTAATAGAATTTTTTGGAAAATGGGCATTGCGGTCAACCGTAATGACACCTGCTGCAGTTTTAATGTATATTGGAGTGTGAGAATTTTTTATATACTGTGGAGGACAATGATCTTTACATATTAGATTTTCTGTGGAACCCGTGTCAATTAATAATCTTGTTTTCCTTGATCTTCCTTTGAGTATGATATAGGGAAGTCCGGTGGCTCCTTGTAAGGAACTAACCGAAAATTTTCCGCTTTGGCTTCAAAATTTTCATTAGTACCATACTCATATTCAGAACTGTATTGATCTTCTTTATTATCCTGATATACACTGTCTTGATACAAATCATCTTGATACATTTCGCTTATCTCTATTTTATTGTTAATACCTTCTAAATTCTTACATGATTTCTGCTCCTGGTGGTGTGTCTGCCTTTTTGATTGTTGAGATGCATCAACATCCATTGATTCATGCTTTTGTTGATATGATGTTGGAGGCTGTTGTCTGATTTGTGGTTGCTGAGGCTTGTAGTAAGGTTGTTGCGATCCATGTTGCTGGAAATTTGGTTGTACAATTCTCGGCTGCCAATGTTGTTGTTGTTGGTAATGTGGCTGCATTATCCTTGGTTGCCAATGTTGCTGTTGTTGGTAATGTGGCTGCATTATTTTTGGTTGCCAATGTTGTTGTTGTTGTTGGTAATGTGGCTGCATTATCGTTGGTTGCCAATGTTGCTGTTGGGGACTTGGTTGTGGTTTGTCCTTCTTCTTTTCGTTGTTCAGGAATCCCGCAGAGCTCAATTCATGCAAAGCTTCCTCCATACTTTGTGGTTTTAATGCGCATAATACAGTCCTCATATGGATTGGAAGACGTGTTATAAAAGTCTTCAGACCAGTTTGGATATTCCTATCGACTTCATCCAATCGATTCTCCTGACCACATTTTTGGTTAAGAATTGCTAGTTTGTGTTGGATGTGGTTGTAGAAATCCATAGTATCTCCTTTATACTGCGCTGCTCTCAGTTCCTGATATAATTGGTCCACAGTGGCAAAGCCACCAAAGTTGGTATTTAGCATCGCTTTTATGTCAGTCCAAAGGGTCAAATGGGGATGAACCTCCATTGCTCTTCTGGCGTTTCCAGTTAGTTTTGATTTTACGATGTTCATACACATTCTTTGAGCTTGTTCGTTGTATAACATTAATGTAGGAATTATGTCATCTACATTTGTTATGAATGTTGTGAGGTCTTCCTTCTTCCCATCAAATTCCCTTAGTTTTTCAATATATGTAAGGGGATTGATGTCTAGCGTACGTAATTGTATGTTGTTTTGCGCTGGGTTAAGGGCTGGTTGATTTGCGTTATTCATTTTGTTTCAATTTTTTTTATAATCTTATTAATGTTCCAAATTTCACTTCGTTGCTATTTTTTGGCTATTTGTAAGTCTTTTAATGTTTTTTAGTTTTCCTCTAATGTTTTACCACTTTCACTTTTTAAGTTTCGTAATTATTTCTTATATTGTAATTATTTGCTTTTTTAAATTTGTAACAATTTGTTAATCTTAAAAATTTATTTCTCTCTTATTAGGATGTGATGTCCACTTTTAACTTTTCCTAGTTTTCTTGTTTAACGTAATTTTGTTAACTTGTTTCTTTTTTACTATTCACTAAAATGTTTCTTTAATCACTAAGTTTATTGTCCCTTTCCGGAGGACTTATCCTTTTACGTAGGATTTCGTTTCACGGACTACCAAACGATCATGGTAATCCTACCGACTGCGCCAATTATAATCATTCTTAATAGTATTATATTTTTTAAAAACTAAAGTGAGTTTCCTCCCTTTGGCGAAACTCGCGTTAAAAAATAACACGTCAATTAAAGTTTGCTGCTGGAATAGAACTAAATCTTTATTTGTGAATGAGTGCAATATACATAATTGTTTATTTTAATTCTAGATACATCGTATGATTATTTATTGGTCTTTTGATTCGATCGTATGATTTGAAATACGATCGATTGTGTGATTTGCAAGAAGGGTGTGGCTTTTTTTTCTAAATGACAGATGGTACGATAATTGTAATATGAATATATTGCCAAATCATTGGAAAGGCATTTTGGTTTGGGTTATAACATATATATATATATATATATATATATATACTCAAAACATTAAATGTCAATTTACAGTTCATTCGGTAGAAATTGTAACAAAAACATGTCATAATTTAATTGACAAAGATTTCTACTTTTTAATACAATTTATGGAGTCCCTAACTTTTATAAACCGATGAAACCTTATTTTTGATAGTTAAATTAAAGTCATATTTCCAGGATTTCAAAATTCATTAGGACTTTAATTAGTGAACTACCGAATATGAAGAGGCAATGTAATATGCGTACTACACAAAACAGTGGAGCGAATTGAAAATTTGGTAAGAAAAGTAATCATATCATTGGAAAATTCTTGCGAGCCCTTAAACGAACCCGTAACCTTAAATCACAGGTAACTTCATACGGGCACTATGGGCTATCGCTGCACCCAAGACAATCATGAGGTTGGTAGATAAGAATCTTTAAAGGGGTGGGGTTCCCGGGTCAAACTTTTTAGGGTCCATTTTATATAGCTTAAACATACGCAAAGGGCCTCAAATATTTTCCTCTATACTCCGCAAAAGTTAATGCAGTCCTATGGGTTACATAAAGAATCATTTTGTACAAAATATGTTTCAGGTTGGTATGCATTGCCCCTTTTTAATTCCTTAAATGTTGGTAATTTGAGATTTTAGAAAGAACAAAACATTCTTTCAAATAATTATAAAAATTGGACCAAGCTTTGGTATAACCCTTGTATGAAGGCATCCACTAATTTCAATTATTTCCAGGGTCATGGTCACATTGTAGGTCACCTCTTCGCGGAAAATTTTCAATGTCAATGTTTTGGCGCTACCTATATAAAGGTACCCCCTGATTTTATTTATTTCGAGGGTTTTGATTATATTTTTGAATCGATTTGGCTTAAAATGTGTGTTTAGGCTACTTTGGGGGTAGAGAACCATCTTACATGGGACTATTATAAACAATTGGTGTATACAGTTTAATATATGTGCTATATTATTTACGTGAACCTATATTGACATTTTTGAAATGCATATTTATTTCTCTTTAGATGAGTCATCATTTATACTAAAAATTGTGCCACTTTTGTGAGCCAGATCTGTGAATTATCATGCTTTAAAAACTATGCGTTAAAGACTAAAACAACAGAACAGAACAAAAACTAAAACTACAGGCAACGCGGTCTGGGCCGTTAAGTAAAATATGGCAACTTTGCACCATTTCCAAACATATATATGGCAACTATGAATCAACAAGTGAACAAATGCAAAAATCCCGTTACTTTTTGTTTCTGTTTTATTTTTGTGCTAAAGTTCGTATTTTGGCTGACCAAAATAATAAGTACAATTTCGATTTTTCAATATTTACCTCTTGCTGAGTGCATTTTAATAAAGGTTTGTTATTTAACTAATTTTCCTTATCAAAATTAAAACAAATTGCACCACAATTTTATCGGTAGGTGGATCGAAATAAACACTGTTCTCCAGAAGAAAGAAGACTAGTGACAAAATCACTTGATAGATCAGTGTGTTTTGTCCAAAGTGCGTTGAAACCCAAAAAAACTAAAGAAACACGCGGTAGGCCAAATAAGACATCGCATATAACGGATTGCCTTATTGTCACCCTCGCAAAAAGATATCCCTTTATATCCTCTCGGGAAATTTCTGCGGACGAATGCAATGTGATATCCGCTCGAACTATTCGGAGAAGACTTGCAGATGCCAAATTGCCAGGACGAATAGCCAGAAAGGTTCCACTGCTTCGTAAAAACAATTGATGATGTGGTTATTTTTCGCAAGAGAACATTTGGGTTGGTGCAGATCCGTACATGAAAAAAATGGCGAAATAATCTATGGAGCGTTGAAACCAAAATAAATTTATTTGGAAATGATAATGGAAGGAACGTTCGTCGCCCCAAAGGAAAAGAATTTCATGTTCGGTTTACAAAAAAGACAGTCAAACATGGGGGTGGAAGCATAATGGTATGGGGCTGCTTTTCTTGGAATGGCGTTGGTCCAATATATTGTATTACTGATACAATGACCAGATTCGAGTACAAAAATATATTGGAGACTATAATGTTACCATATGCTGAAGAAGATATGCCACTTATATGGGTGTTTCATCAGGACAACGATCCGAAACACACATCCCGGTATGTCAAAGATTGGTTTCAGCAAAATAAAATAAAACTCCTAGACTGGCCTAGCCAGTCTCCTGACCTCAATCCCATAGAAAACGCATTAGTACACAATCGTTCCAAAATAAAGACCAACTTTGGGATTTTGTACAAAAAGCTTGGTATAAAATACCTGTTGATACCTGCCGTAAGCTTGTAAGTAGTATGCCAAAAAGAATACAGAAGGTCATAGCAAATAAAGGTGGATATACTGGATACTAATGTTATAAGCAATACTGATAAAAATTTAACCTAAAAATTCCTGAAATACTTACTGTAATAAGTTTGCTTATGTTGTAAGAATGGAATAAAAAAATAGTTTTGCATTACATTAAATACATTTTTTTAATTTACCTGAACATATACAAATAAAATGATGTACTTATTATTTTGGCCATACGTATATATATATATATATATATTTTTTTTTTTTTGCAAAATAGTTAGGCTTAATACCATAGTTGTTGTTTTCATAAAAACAAGGCAACATACCATGGTTTCGAAAACTTTGGAGTTATTTTAAAATATCTCCTATGAGAAAAACGTTTTTCACCCAAGTGAAGATATGAATAGAAGAGAGACCGAATAATTGAATTACACCAAAATTCTTTTGGCATTTGTTCCAAATCTCTCCACTGGTTATGTATTCGTTTACCTGTACGAAATAGCATAACCATGTAATTTAGTTTTGTCTGTTACAACACAGAAATATTATTTTTATTTTAAAACTCCGCAATGCCAGATATAAAGTGTATATTTAACAAGAAGGGCTATTTTTTCAAATCAATGTAAATCAGATGTAATGATATAGACTCATGTGTGAGAGCAATATAAACAAAAAAAACAGCTAAGTTCGGCCGGGCCGAACTTTTAATATCCTCACCATTTGGAAGGAACATGAAAAATTTCAAAAAAAAAAAAAATTCCAAAAACTAAGTGGTAGTAATGAAAACCGTTATATGAAATTTTTTTCCATAGCTTGTAGTACCCATTAAGAACTTCAATACGAAATTTGAAACGATTCCAGTGGATAATGTTGGTGAAATCCTCAAAATACCGAATATAGGGAGCTACCGTTATATGGGGGCTATACAAACATTTTTGTCAGAGTCTGTAGTACCCATTATAAACTTCAAATATGAAATTTGAAATGATTCCGGTAAATAATATCGCTAAAGTCATGAAAATATCGAATATCGGGAGGTACCGTTATATGGGGGGGTGGTGGTTATCTGAAAACGTGGGCCCGTTTACGAACTTTGTAGGGTCTATTATGAATAATTCGAAGAGTTACAAACGGAATGACAAAGTTAATATACCCTTCCGGCCGATTATCGGAAGAATAGCTGGATGCTACCGGATGCGTCCACAGGTAGCGGATAGTGGAACGCCCAATAGATATATTGGGCAGCTGCGAATAAATAAGCAGTCGCGGACATCTCAGCGGTACCGAGGGGAGAGTCTCGGAACAAATACCCGAGTGCCCATGATCCCTGATTCGACGCTGGGGAGTTACGTAAACCGTGCCCATTAATGTTCCTCGGTTGACTGTATTCGTACGGTTGCCTCACTGATACCTGGGCGCCTCAGTGACTACCAGGCTTAGTTGCCAAGTCCTTGCCATGGTAGGAAGGCTATGCCATGGTGAACCTCGTCTCCTCCAAGTCCGACTTTTTCATATGGAGAAAAACAATTATACAAACAAAAACAAACCCCCAACTACCACCAATGACACTATTGCTTCCAAGGAAGCAAGGCCGGCCACAGGACACGATTTCCACCTCGGGAGGGGGATGACTCTATACTGAATTACAGTGACGTCATCCATGACAGTATTCAGCAACATAGTGAACAATTGTCCGTTCTCCTGGAAAGGACAAAAACGCTAAGGCTCAGTCAGGAAAGTGTTCCTTCTGGCTTTGGAAATGACTCACCACTTTCGGATGAGAAACTTGACATCACGGTCATTTCCTCGTCTCAAAGTGGTAAGTCATTTCAAAAGGCCACTAAGAACACTCCCAGCGAAACTTGCGCAGAGTCCCAAATCCAGGAGGGATCATCGTCGGTCACCTCCGATGTTACTAGCCTCGATCGGCAAGACGCCATCAATGTAGGTACTGGCAGGGATCCTACCAGAAACACTACCTCTCATGATGGCGCCGACCTGAATTAGACTAAAGCAACGCGGGGCTATAAAAGGTCGGTAAATTATTGTAAAAATTTCGGCCAAGACCCCGCGCAGATAACGGAGAGAGAGAGTATTCTGATTAAGATGAACCTCAAGGTAATTGCAAAGTTCGAAAAGAACCACCCGCATGTAATATGTAATAGG